ACACACACACACACACACACACACACACACACACACACACACACACAAAGCCTTCAGAAGTAAGGTCTTTTCCTTTACACCAGTGAGATTATATTGATTTAAGGAATGGATTTTCTTCACTTTTCATTCTTTTTTTTTCTTCCATCCTTTCCTCCTCCCTTCCCTTTCTGGAATAGGGAAGAAAATTCTAGACAAGTGACTCAGAGTTACAAATACCCTAAAAATATCTAACTATCCCCGTGCAAATACAAATAGAACTTAACTGCCTGCCACATGCTTTTTTGTTGTGGTGGTTGTTGTTGTTTTTAGAAAACTCATCTTTACACTCAAAGGAGCTGCTGCTTAAACAGCCTCTGTGTTTGCATTCTTGGCTCTCTTGGGTTCCTTTAAGAAGTTTATGAACTTGAAGACCTCTTAGCTGGGAAAGTTTGTAGGAGGAAATCTAGCCAAAACAACAATGGGAAATGAAACTGTTACAAAATTCCGTCTCTAGTTAGCTGTCGTTTTATTTCTTGTACTGTACCACTTCGTATCTGTTTTTCTTTCTGCAACACTTTTTAAAATGCTACATGAGCATCAGAATGAGTCAAAACAATTTTTCCTGGAACTCAACAGTGTTTAAATGGCCTGGAGGAAGGTAGGGGGCTCTATAGGCCTAGTCCTGGGCATTTCTGTTTGTCTCTGCAGCCTGACTCCTGTGTCTTGTGTCAAAAGGGAAGACCTTTCTCCCAGGTTCCTTCCCAGCAGATTTTTTTTTCCACAGAAGCAGCTGTGTGTAAAAGTCTACCCATCCATTTTAGCTGAGAGCATTCCTCTGAATATATTTATACATGTGTTATCTGCTACCACCCATTACCTATTCCCATCACCAAATAAGCGCTCCAGATTTTCTGATAAATGGGCTTAACGCAGAGGATTGTTTGTATCTCAGAGCCGCAGAGCCCTGTGATCAGAGCGGCCATAATCTGGAATCAGTTTGTAACTTTGTGGATATTTTTATGCTTTGGCTTTTTCTGTAAAACAGTGCATAATTTTTCTGTTACTCTCAAAAGTGATAGCTAAGCCATGGGTAGTGATTCATCCATGCCCATTATCTCAATACGACAGAGGTCGAGGCTCAGTTTTTGGCAGATGTCCATTCAGATCAGCAGTTCAGCTATCTAAGGAGTAGTGGGCTAGCGCAGTGTATATAAGACCCTGTCTTGGAAAAAAAGAAAGAAATTCTTTCTTCTTGGCATGTTCTACTGGACCCACATCCTTAGTCCCCCACATTCAGGGGCCTGAGACAAGTGGGTCTCTGAATTTAAGATAGCCTGGCTACTACAGAGGCAAGTACATCTCTGGGAGTTCAAGGCCTGCCTAGTCTATGAAGAGAGTCCAAGACAGCCCAGGCAACACAGACAAACCAAAAAAGAAAAACAAAAAGATAGCCAAGCTTATGTAGTGAGTTCCAGGCTAGTCAGAAATTAAAAAAAAAAAAAAAAAAAAAAAAGAAGTGAGATCCTATCTTTTTTTTTTTTTTTAAGAGGTAGCTGAGCTGGAGAGATGGTTCCACAATTAAAGGCTATAACTCACAACCAAAACAGGTCTAGAGAGAAGTCTCAGTGGCCAAGAGTACTTACTGTTCTTGCAGAAGATCCAAGTGCAGTTCCTAGCATCCGCATGATAGTTCATGTCCCCATCTATAACTCCAATTCCAGGAGATCCGGCACCTCTTCTGACATCTACACCTGGCATGCACACGGAGCACGTGAATACATGGAGGCAAAACAATCACGCTTACAAAATCAAAATAGGTGATAACTTACTTTTTTTTAAGTGATAACTGACCCTTGAAAGATTGAAATTGCAAACCCAGGTCGTTTGGTCATTTGTTAATTATCTTGGGAAAAGACATTCAGCTATAGAGGAACGATCTTTAAAGGATTTAATTCTGCCCTCTCCTTTGGCAGCCCTTCGCTTGACCCTTACTTGAAAATCCTGCTCTCTTGAACCGACCTTCCTAAACAGTTATTAGTGAACTGCAAAAAGTGTTCTGGAAAAAAAGATGCTGGCTTACTTTGCCGCTTACTTCCTGACTGAATCCTGAGGCCGATAACTAATGTCAGGCTAAGGGCTGGCTATAGGTAATTTTCAAAAAAAAAAAAAAAAAAGGCTTGAATTCATGATTGTTCAGGGGAATGGCGAGTGCAGCCACTGACATGGAGGAAGCTATCAGTGTGTCTTTCCCTGAGCCGGAGAATCATTTGCACTTTAGTAAAAATGTTGATAGTCTGGACTGCCCCCATCTATTCATGGCGGTCAGTAGCTGTACACCAATTGTCAACTTTATACAAAGTGTGGTGCCGCTACAAAGAGATAGATGTTCTGTGCCATGAATAACCCGCCCTCTGTTTGGGAAGCCAAGATATTCGTGGCAGAACTGTGACCAACCACCCATGGAGGTAATGTGAGGCAAGTAGTGCTCAGGGTTCAGCTGTGGGCAAGGCTTCTAAGGTCTGGTGAGGGGGCGAGGACCTTAGCTTCTCTGGGAAGAGCCTGTCCAGGGCACATTTTAACCCAGCTTTAGTTAATGCTGCCTGTCAGCCTGGGATTTCTGGGTCAAGTCATGGGAGGGTATATAATTAAACATGGGTGGGGTTTGCGGTGAAAGAGAATTTGATTCTTAATCCACTCTAGCTTTGTAATTTCTGAGTGAGCACCCTCTTTAGATATGTTCTGAGCAGCCATTTGAACTGTGCTCAGGGAAATAATCGCAGAGGTGCTAGGAATGGTTGAACTGCGGCCCAGACCTGTCACGCCGGGGTTCTAGGGTTCCTCATTACTGGCTACATCTTCCACCTGGGAGCAGAATCCCAAAAGGATAGGTTTTGCTCCTCCATCCAAGCCACATACCTTCCCTCAAAAATGATGTTTGCCAAAAACATCTCCACTGTCTCTTCCTCAAGCCGGTTCGTGAACCCTAAGTGGCAGGTCTCTGCTTGTGCCCATTAGCTCCCCAGCAGGTAAAGGGTTACACTTTGGGACTATACCTAAGGCATGGATGGCCTCCATTGTGAGTCAGAAATTAGGATTCTACTCATTCTCAACAGAGAAGCCAAATGGTCTTTAAAAGCCAATTAGAATGCTAAAAAGTAGACACCAAAGCTCAGCTATTTGGCTGGCCATACTGTTAAGAGCTGTGCTTTCTAAAAGCAGCTGAAAATGTAAACAGGAATATGGATTTGCAGCCGGGAGTGGTGGCACGCATCTTTAGTCCCAGCACTCGGGAGGCAGAGGCAGGTCAATCTATGTGAGTTCGAGGCCAGCTGATCTACAAAGTGAACTCTAGAACAAACAGCTTCTCCTTTCTGCTTCAAATATGGGCATAATGAAAACCCTTCTATGTATTTTTGTGTATCCTTAGAATAACATGTTTGGAAATCAGATTACTAAAGTCAAAGTGATTTTTAAAAACAGCCAATTCATATCTAGTATAGAAAAGTAGCAAATATATGAATTTTTAATCACCACAGCTTATTCATTTTAGTGGGCTTTTACAGATTAATCTTCTATAAAGGTATGTTTATGTCTATTGTTATATTCAGCTGGGCATAGTGGCATGCAGAGGCAGGCAGGACCTCTGAGTTTGAGGCCAACTTGGTCTGTGTAGCAAGTTCCAGGCCAGGCAGGGCTAAATAGTGAAACCTTGTCTCAAACAAATATACATATCCGTGAATTGCAATTGATTTGATTTTTAATTTAATCCCTGTACTATCAACATCAGTGTCAGTGTCCGTCATGCTGCAAGTTCTGTGATACATTAAGTTACAAATATTTTAATCAAATTGGTCTGCTTTGGCCAGTGAACAAATATGAAATGCATCACATGTGGAGAAGTAATTTAGCAAACATGATGAGAAAAAAAGCTGACAGGGAAATATTTCTAAAACGCATTCTGACCCTGTAGAATAGACACCAAAAGTACAGCAGCAGGCTGTACTGAGAAAGGAAAGCAAGTTGCTTTCAGTTAAGAAGGGAGGTGAAGAGGGCGTGACCACGCAGAGAGGGGTTCTCCAGGTGGAACAGCTGTCAGGAAACGAGAGATCCCAACCTTAGGGCCACCAGGCTGAAGTGCCCTTCCCACAGAGACCACAGGAGGAAAGGAATGAAGACTCAAGCCACGGTGGCTTGGTATGTTCTCTAGGCTGCGGGGACTCCATATCCCAAGCTTCTCTGGTGGGAACAGCTACTCCTGATGGAGGGGTTACGTCAGGGTTTGTTTCAGCTCAAGTCTTGATGGTGCTGGAGATGGGTGGGAACAGGACTCTGCATCAGTGTGCCAGAAGGGAACCACAACAGGAGAGAGACATGCTGTGTGGCTCACATGACAAGCCCTGGCAGATCAGCATTGTGGTGACAGCCGACAAAGCTTAGCAGTCATTGAGGACTTTCAGGCTTGAGTCTAGGAGATGGAATAAGTATTGTGACTTATTCAAAAAGAAAGCACAAGAGGTCACTGAGAAGGGGATGGGTTGAGAGAATTGGTTTTTGTTGGTTTGTTTTTGTGGCTTTTTTTTTTTTTTTAAATAATTTACCTTTTTAAAAAGGTTTTATGTGCATTGGTGTTTTGCCTGCAATGTATGTTTGTGTGAGGGCAACTGAAGTTACAGGCAGTTGTGAGCCACTATGTGTGTGCTGAGAATTGAACCCAGGTCCTCTGGAAGGGCAGCCAGGGCTGTTAACCAGGCCCTGTCTCCAGCCCTGTGGAAACTGCTTTTAACAAAATGACATTTAAGTCTGTGTTGTTCGGACCTAACACTGCATGCCTACACTCTTTCTCTGAACAGGAAACCACTTAGAATATACCTGTAAATGCGGAGGCCTTCGGCCGGGAGGACTGTTAAATGTGCAAACACCGCAGCCCGAGCAAGAGGCGGGGATGACAGAAGGGAAGCTCCTTGGGGGCCGTGACCAGTTCCCCACTCAGGGAAATACTCTGCGCCCGGTGAACCTGACAGATGACCAGATAGCCACCGGCCTCTATGGTAAGTCTCCTCACAGCTTGGCGTTGGGATTCTAGCAGCCGCGGCCAGCATTCCAGCTGATGACTTACACGTTGACCTGGAAGAAAAGTTGTATGATTATTTTTTTGGCAGCCAGTTCTAGAGTGTTGTGCAGCCTTGGCTACAAGGTATGCGTTATACAGACAGCCTTCCCGCTCTTTTTGCATCCCACCATGCATATTCTACGGCCTAGGTTATCTTAGCTGGAAAAAAAGTGTGCCAGTACCCCTACTGTGGTGCCTAAGTTAGGGCGAAATGAGACATGACATCACTTTATAAACACTGCAGCCTGGTACAAATGCTCCTTATCACCCAGTTTGTAATGTCTGGCCACACTGATGGATTCCCCATTTAAAAGAACATTATTAATAGAATGCTGAATTATTTTCTCCATTTGCACATACTTTCCCACTAGATATTATGGAAATCTCTCGCAAGCATGCTAAGCTCTCCATTCACAGACAATGAGGAAAGAATGCCCACTCAATTTCACTTGTTTGATTTACAGGAATCACCTTATTTTCATTTCATATTTGATTTACTTTTTTTTTAACAGTATGTCCAAATAATGAAAATACACTGAAGTCTATCATGAAGAAGAACGACGGGAATAAAGATTCAAATGGCGCTAAAAAGAACCTTCAGTTCATTGGCATTAATGGCGGGTAAGGCAAACTGGTGGTGTTTGAGAGCAAAGGCACCTGTTGTCTCCTTTGTCTCCTGCCTACTTACGTCACTGTCAAGGGGCCTATTCTGGGATGCTGCCACATCTTGATGATAGAAGATTTCCTCCTCAGAAAGGTGCATCTCTTCTCTCTTCTTGCTATCCTTAAGGATATGTCCCTCTTTCAAGGATACCCATTGAAGCTGGGAAAGTGACATCTCCTCACCTCTGACCTGAAAAAAAAAAAAAAAGACCACAGCAAGGTTGCTGCCTTCTATTGGACAGTCGTGCTCATACATGTTAGAATACAGGAGAGAATAGGAAGACGCTGGCAGCACTGGTCTAGGGCCCAATGACAGTGATCCACTTTTCCGGAATGGATTGCTTTTGACTTAGCTGTGTTCGTGAGCAAAACTGTGGGGCATTTCAACTGGCCATAGCTCTTGGTTCCTTGCTTTCTACATAAAATGTAGCTGGTGGCCCAGGTGGTTGAGCCTGTTTCTCCTCCTACAGTTGGATCAAAGCAATTAGTTGATTACTCAATGAGAAGGCAACAGTACAGCGTTGGGTATTTATAGCAAGGTGGCTACCCAGAGAGGCTTAACATGATGGTGCATGTTTTACAAATCTTCAGCTTCATTGAAGGATGTGGCCCAGATTTCAAAGGACATGCAGGGGAGGGACGATTGCTTACTTGTATAATCTGTTCCCCTTGACAGTAGGAGAATGGATGGGGGCAAATAGGCAGAATGGAGTGGAAATGAGCAGCTGCAGATCTGGTTTCTATAAAGTCACTTTCCTCTCAATTTTTTCTGGGCTAGTGGTATCAGCGCTTTTTTTTTTTTTTTTTTTTTAAATAAACAAGTGGTATATAATACCAGTCATCAACTGGGAGTTACCTCTTTGAAGTCAGAACCCACTGTAAACCCACCAGGCCTTTCTAAGTGCAGGCTTTAAACCACTGGCAAGGTGTCTAGAGTCAGGCAGCAGCTTTCCTTTCCCAGGAATGTCTGTCACCGGGTCTTTATGGGGACACTCTGCACCTCCTGAAACCCCGATTGCCACCTAGGTATGAGACAACTTCAAGTGACGATTCCAGCTCAGATGGGAGCTCTTCTTCTGAGTCAGATGACGATGACGCCCTTGAGTCTCCTCCCGAGGAAGAGGAGGAGGAGGAAGAGGAGGATGACGACACTCAGGGAATGGCGGAAGGGCACCACGCAGTTAATATTGAAGGTTTCAAGTCTGCCAGGGTGGAAGATGAAATGCAGGTTCCAGAATGTGAACCTGAGAAGGTGGAAATCAGAGAGAGGTGTGGTACACTCCCGTCCCCTCCCCGATTCCTCCCGTGGTGTACTTGGGCACCGGAATGAGCTGGTTCAGATAGTTTACAGCTGGATCTGTGTGTTTAGTCTTATCTGTGTCTCAGGAGTATGCACAGCTGGTCCAGGTGCTAGGAACTATAAATGCAGGATATGATGTGCTTCGGGTCTCTTAGCGTAGCGATGAGGATGGCTCGGTCGCTAGTCTAGCCACTGACAGCCTTCGCTGTCTAACTTGGTATGTGGAACTGCTGTCCACCACAGCATCTGCTGTTTGAACAAATGTCCTTATATACAAAGGCGCAGTTGACATTTCTGATGGCCAGAAAATGTCTTGATGCAAATGTCAGAATTGTTATTGCAGGACCATTGTGTACGAGGAACAGGAACTTAGCCTCAACCAAAAATCACCTGGAAAGGTGACGCGTGTCAGGCACATGCCTCAGTTTTGTTGCTCGCCGAGTGATAAGAAACACAAGAGTAGATGTGGGACTGAATTAAAATCTCACGTTCTCTGGGTGGCTGAAACACACACCTGAGAAATGGAGTTTGCGACACCGTTAGTATGTGCAAACTTGTTGCTCATAAAATGAGGTTTTTCTGGGAAGCATGAACGGAAACATTTCAGCAGACCTTTTTTTTTTTTTTTTTCTGTTAAATTTGTCAAATGGAAGCGCACTGTCAATACAAGGTAAGCGTTTTCAGAGGGTCTGAAATGTCTTCTGAGTTTCTAACAGCTGTATTGAGATATGTCATTTGATTTTTGGCTTTTTAAAGGTATCGCACAAACACTTGAGTCCCTACATCTGGGTTCAACATAATAGAAATATAGTAATTTAGACCTCGTTAGCTCCTTAAGAGTAATATATTAGCTGGACGCAGTGACAGATACCTGTAATCCCAGCACCCAGGGAGGCAGAGGCATGTGGATCTCTATGAGTTCCAGGCCAGCCTGGTCTGCAAAGTGAGTCCAAGATAGCCAAGGCTACACAGAGAAACCCTGTCTCGAAAATTTTAAAAAAGTAATATATAAACATTTATATTTATATAATATATATTTCCTTGTATATATGTTGGAAACAGGGTCTCACTATGTCACCCCGGCTGGACTGGCACTCACTATGTAGACCAAGCTGGCCTCAAACTCACAGAGATCCACTTGCCTCCCAATTACTCAGATCCAAGGCATATGTCATCACACCTGGCCAAGACTAAGAATAAAATTTTCCAAATGTTATTTTGTAATCTTCTAAAGGCCACACTGATACAGCTGGAAGTTACACGTGTGCAGAGACCATCATCACAGCAGTACTGGCTCTGCAGGGTGATGTCACTCACCAGTGCCTGGGGACAGCTCCAGTCTTCATGACCCGCCTAGGCCGGCTCATGGCCCTGGCCTCGTAAATGGTGGGCACTGAGGTAAAAATCACTTTTGTGGCCAATCCCTGAGTTTTCTGTATTTGTTTTCCTTCCCTTTTAGGTATGAATTAAGCGAAAAGGTATTGTCTGCATGCAACTTACTGAAAGATAACATAAACGACCCCAAAGCTTTGACGAGCAAAGATATGGTGAGTCTGACTGAAGGGAGCAATCCCCGGGCTACGTGGCGTCACCCAGGTGCACTATGCGAACGCGGTAGCCTGCCCGTGAGCTCTTGTGTGCATGCTTCTCCCTGAGCCATTCACTTCCAGCGTAGCTGGCAGGGTGAGCGTCATACTGCCCAGCTCAGGGAACATGCCATTTCCCTGAGGCCCAGCTTCCACTCTCTTTACCCACCCTGTACTTTCCCTGTGGTGGAGCCATGTGGGAGGCACATACTTGGCAGGAAGAAAGAGAAGGCTAATTGCAGGCGCTCTTCTTCTTCCATGCTCTACTTCCATCCACAGAACCTTCGGGTCCAAAGAGCAGCATCCCAGACCTTTTTTTTTTTTTTTTTTTAAAGAAACTTATCTGGGCTGAGATCAGCATTCCTCTCAGTTAGGAAGGTATATTATTAGGTTCTGGTGTGGAATGCAGACGGCCACTATTTTTAAACAGAAAAATAACTGCACTGTCATTTCACGGTTGGGGAGATTCTGTGCGGTGTTGTGGAGGTTGTGATTTTCTTAATGGTCAGGAGCAGCACAACGCAGGACCCATAGGTATTGCCTCGGCAGTGGTTAACCTAGTGTGCTGCCAGGTGACTCACTCCTGGGCTGACAGTTGGATCTGCAGCTGCTCAACCTGACCCGGCCTCTGATTGGCAGCTCCATCTCGAGGGCATTGTGAAAATGTAGCTCCTTGCATTAATTCAAATAATAACCAGGTTTAGTTCATTTGAGGCTGAATCATCTGATGTCGGTATCTGCTGCTCAGATGACTTTACGAGGCTCTCGGGATCTATGGAGCTATGAAAACAAAGCGAGACCTAAGGAGTTAGCTAATCCTAGAAGCGTAATTGGAATGCCGTGGGCCTGGCATGTTCTGTGAAAGGCTGCCAGTGGCTGGCACGGTCTTGAACACACAGGAACATGTGCCCAGGAGACCACCCTAGCCAAACCCAACCCCAGTTTCCGAGGCCCTGAGAGATATGTCTCTAGGGCCTGCAAGATGGCTCAGTGGGTGATGATGTTTGCCAACAATCCTGACAAAGAAACCAACATCTGCAAGTTGTCCTCTGACCTCCACACATACTTGCACATGCACAATAAGTAAATAATAAACATATAAAAAATATTCTAAGTATCTCTAGAGTAGCAGCCACCGTGTCATGGCATGGTGGTGCTAGAATTAGATTGCCCCGGGTTGCTCTGTGAGACAGGGCCTCATATTGCAGCTCAGACTGGCCTGGGACTTGCTGTGCAGCCTCGGTCACTCTCAAGTCCCAGCCTAGTGTAGTAGAGGAGTTGGAATTAGTCTCGGTCAGGAGGCAATACAGTTGCAGGTGGGCTAATTTCTTCCTGATTCCAATGGGGGGAGAAAAGCATTCGAAAATACCAGCTAATTCAATAAACACAAACAGCTCAAAATTGGAACCAGGCCTAAGTGTTAACCTCATTATAGATACTATAAAAATGATTTGTTTTGTTCTTTTGTTAAAATATGGGGCGGGGCATGGTGGCGCACGCTTTTAGCCCCAGCACTTGGGGGGGGGGGGCAGAGGTGGGCGGATCTCTGTGAGTTTGAGGACAGCCTGGTCTAAAAGCAAGTCAAGGACAGCCAAGGCTACACAGAGAAACCCTGTCTCAAACAAAACAAAGACATGGGAACTATGATGCAGAATAAGATCCTCAGGATCATTCATTCATAAGTAGCAGAATCTGGAATTGCACCCGAGGGGCTCTAAACCTACTGGCACATTGTCGGGGCCTGAGCGAGCATAGCATGGACGGCATGATTTCAAACCAGAGGAGAAGCTCAAGTCTGCTGTTTGAAGCTGCTCTTGAGGCCGTGGGTTTCACAAGCCTTTGAGGGCAGATGCTGAGAGCACACACTTTGCCTATAAAAGGCCTGGTTGCTCGGGCTTTCGAATGAGCTCGGAGAGAGCTATAAATAGAACTAACAGCAACGTGGTGTTTTTTGGCAGAGGTTCTGTCTGAACACCCTCCAGCACGAGTGGTTCCGCGTGTCCAGTCAGAAGTCCGCTGTGCCAGCCATGGTGGGGGACTACATCGCCGCATTCGAGGCTGTCTCCCCGGATGTGCTCCGTTACATCATCAACATGGCCGATGGCAATGGGAACACCGCCCTCCACTACAGCGTGTCTCACTCCAACTTCGAGATTGTCAAGCTGCTTCTGGACGCAGGTATGGAGGCTGCCCCGTGACTCCCCTAGGAGCGCTCAGGCTGGGACTTAATCTTCACCAAGCCAATTGGCCTTTGTTCAGTGGCCATCCTAAAGCCTCTTCATTGCTTGTCCACATGGCATGGCAAGAATACTGTTCTTGAGTCGTGGACAGGAGGCTTGAGGTCCACCAAGCCTGGACAATAAAGAAACAGAATCCAAGCCGGGCAAGGTGGCACACACCTGTAACCCCAGCACTCAGGGAGGCAAAGGCAGGTGAATCTCCATGAGTTCAAGGCCAGCCTGGTCTGTAGAATGAGTTCCAGGACAGCTCAGGCTACACCAAGAAACCCGTCTCAAAAACCAAAAAGAAAAGAAACAGAATCCAGATCTATTTCGAAAGGGGGCTTCAAAGATATTCTCACTGCAGGTCAGCCATCTTCAAACATTTCCCCTGCTCATGAGCATGGCTCACAGGCCCAGCGTCACAGCGTTTGTGTCTGCGGGCACTCCATTTGTCCTTGTTCGCCAGCCTCTGTGGCTGTGCGGAAGTGAGCAGTTACTCAGGGGTAGGGACTAGTAAAGCCCCAGCAGGGTCATCGCTGTTCCTGTCCAACTACACCACTCCCGAAGAATCACAGAAAAGGGAAGCAGTGTTTCCGCTACCGCTGAACCTTGTTAATCATGGCAGTTGAGTGCCCACGTTAGGGGATAACTGATTCCATCTGATGACAGGAAGGAGTCACAGGCCTCCTTCCCTCCAAGACCATAAACAGCTGCGGATACCGTTAAACTAGGGGATAAAAGTTGTTCCTAGATAATACCCAGGGAAGCTGAGAAGCAAATTTCAGAATTCTTCCTGAAATGAATGTTTTGTTGTGGTTTTTTTTTTGGCCTCAGAACTCTAGGATGGTTATCTTGGCAAACTGAATTGATTCCATTGTTAGATGGTTTTAGCTAATCACTTTGTTTACATTGTTTTTAGTGCTTTACTATTTTGAGTAGATTTTTGGCTCCATAAAATGTAATTCTGGGTACATGTGTGTACCCGCGTTGCCGACCGCACAGCCTTTGCTTTTTTCACACGAGTCCTTCTGTCCATCCCATTATGTTACTATGAAATGGACGGGGATGCCAGGCAAAGTTACTGTCCTGGCCTGTCTTCAATGACTTGCTCAGTATAAAAGCTACTTTTTCCATTGCTCTTCATCCTGGCATGTCATTCAAGCCCTGGAAGGCTTCTTGCGAATTAGAGGACAGAAGCAATCAAGCCTGTGGGGTCTGGTTAGAGGACTCATCACTTTCATATCGATCTTACACCTCAAGCCCTGGACTTAGAAGCCAGGATTGATTGACTCTCTGGACATGAGCCTGTCTAGATCCCTCATTGGTGTTGATGCTCCAGAGCAAGGACATTCAGACCCTCCTGGAACCCTGCCAGGCTACGACACCATAGTCACCAATATCACAAGCAGGGCACACTGGAGTCACTCACTGTCACGTCTGCTGCTGCCAGCCCTCTGGGTTAGGGCATAAAAACATTTGTTTCCTTTTTTTTTTTTTTTTTTTTTTTCCTGGGCCCCTTTTTCCCCATGGGGCTCTTGTAAACATCGCACCTCCAGTAGACACTTCTGGATCTCCTTCTTGTAGACGTGTGTAATGTCAACCACCAGAACAAGGCTGGATACACCCCCATCATGCTGGCAGCGCTCGCCGCCGTGGAGGCAGAGAAGGACCTGCAGGTTGTAGAAGAGCTCTTCGGCTGTGGAGATGTGAACGCCAAGGCCAGTCAGGTCAGTGCCTTGCTTACTGGGCTCTCTCTCCGTCGCTGCCCTGGCCAGTGTCTGCTATGACCCGGCTGACAGTGCAGCGCTTGGTGGCACACCGACAGCTTCGGTCCAGTGACACCACCTTGCGAATCTCTCCCGGCTTTGCATGGCCTCTCGGTCAGCTTGCAGGAGAAATGACAGACGTGCCTGCACACAAGGGACCCTGCCGTAGGAGGGCCGTCACCATTCAAACATCGCCTACCGCCTCCGCCTGTCTTGCTGTCTTGGCTTTATGCCAGACCCAGAGCTGAAAGCCTAAATGTGTTCGCAGTTTGACCTTAAACCTCTTTGGAACTCTCTGCCTTGCTCTGCTGAGACATCCTCAGAGTCCTGCTGAAAACCTGACTCCTTCCTCTGTGCTCTTCCTCAGCTCATAGCTACAGCGCCTTTGTGCTTTGTCTGCTCCACCCCACCCCCAGCCTTCTCCTGCCCAGTCTGCATTTCGGACTCTAACCATCCTTTCCCTCATAGGCAGGACAAACAGCCCTCATGCTGGCCGTCAGCCATGGGCGGATAGACATGGTGAAGGGCCTCCTGGCCTGCGGGGCTGACGTCAACATCCAGGATGATGAGGGCTCCACCGCCCTAATGTGTGCCAGTGAGCATGGGCACGTGGAGATTGTGAAGTTGCTGCTGGCCCAGCCAGGCTGCAATGGCCACCTGGAGGACAACGTGAGTACCACTGGGCCTCCGGCCTGGAGCGGGGGTGGGTCCCGCCGTCCTGTCCCTTGTGGATGGATGCTGGCGTCCAGGACTCTTCCTTTTACAGCCCAACTCCTCCATAGCCTGTTACCGAGTCAACCAAAAGCAAGAATAGACAAATGGACCTCACCTTCGAGTTCATTAAAGGAAGAAGGTGAGGGCCAGCGTTCCTAATGGGAGTGAGCAGACTTGAACTTGCTGGAGGCACTGCGTGAGCGGTCCCTCCGTAGAAGCCTCGGGCTTATTTTTTCCCCTCGGATGGAACACTTACCGACTCAAAGGCAGTGTCACAGATGATCTGTGACAGTATTGACAAATGTGAATAACGTGTGGTGCGTAAGGCAGGAAGTCTGTGAGTTCTCGGCTGTCCTCAGCACATTTTCACACCTGCTTGGTCTGTCTCCAATGCCACCAAACTAAGCTGCTCACTGAGCCCCCAGTCTGTTCCCACTCGGAGAGAAACCTTTCCTCAGAACCTTCCGCGGCCATAGGGCTGAGGCCGAAGAGGCTGTGCACTTGCAGACAGAAAGCACGGGACCAGCACTGAGGTTGTGGAAGCCCGCCCAGGGTCACAGAGGTCAGGCCAGGCTGCTTCTGGTTTTGAAAGTTCATCTCCTTAGAACACAGAGCTGTTCCAGCCAGAGCACCCTTTATTTCAAAACAGCATAAAGTCAGAGGTGAAATATCCCACTTTGTCATCAATTTCGGATTCCCTGCTGGGCTCACTCCAGCAAGCAAAGCAGGGGAGGTCAGCACTGGATAGAAGGGCAGCCTCCACCCACCTCCAGAGAAAACAGTTCTGTTCCCTTCCTCAGGGAGCCCCAGGTCACAGTTTCCTTTTTTTTTCCCCCACTACAGTCTCTGTTGCATGTGTTTGAGGTTTTGTTCTAGTGTTTTCTTTCTGAAAACTTGTCACTTTGCAGTGAGAGTCTGTAGTGTTACAGGGACTCCCAGAAATCCTGGCTACCCGGCTAATCGCCCACTTCCTCAATTCATACACAAGTAGGGCAACACCTACCTGGCCTCGGGAAGAAGAGCTGCTCCCTGGATCTGCAGTGTGGGAGAGCAGGGTGCTAATAGTCAACCCACATGGGAATCATTTCCTGTTGCTGTGATCAAAGGAGAGTCCTCACTTCAAAACCAGACAGGAGATAAGCAGTGCTGTCCTCTGCCTTCATTCCTTCGTATCTATTTCAGACCCTGCAATTTAATAAAAAAAAAATCAAACAATTAACCAAAACATGTTTCTTTCCCATAATGCTGTGTTTTCCCCTAGTATTTCTAGAAGATACTGCGCATGCGTCCAAACTGCCAGGGTGTTGTGTTTACGTGTGGATGTGACCTCCACCATTCAGTAAAGTTGCTGTGTAGGCTACAAGGTCACAGCTTCCTTGTCCGGAGGAAGGCTGAGGTGTTTGCAGCTGGCTAGACGAGTCCACACACTAGTTCTTGCCTAATCATTTGTGATTAAGGTTTCTGACCCTCCTGTTCTTACTGGCCCCTATGGCTGGTGGGACAATCAATCGGATAGGGGTTCTTTGTGGACAGCCTTCAGTTCTTAAGAACCCTGGTGCATACGTCCCTGTGCCAATACTGACAGATAAAGCCAAAGTGAATGAATGATTGTCCTTGTGCTTGGCTTCTTATGAGCAGAGCCTAGTCTCCCTCACCTCCACACGGTCAAGATGCAGCACTGCAAGATCCAGAAACACTTGCCTGAAGGACAGGACAGATGGCTAGATCTGGAGGACTTTGTCAGTTTGTTACCTTCTGGCTGGTGGAGGCTGGAGAGACTCAACCTGGCCTGTTCTTTCCATTTCCTCTTTAGGATGGCAGCACTGCTCTCTCCATAGCCCTGGAGGCTGGACACAAAGACATTGCCGTTCTTCTGTATGCCCACGTCAACTTCGCGAAAGCCCCATCTCCGGTCAGTATTGGGCACTTGGCATTCGAAAATAGGATGGAGTCCACAGGCCGGCAGGCCGCTTTCCTAGGGGAATTAACAGGCCACAGGGGTCTTATGTTGATTCTGAATATGGGAGGATTAGCCCAGAGCTTAAGTTTTCATCATTTCAAACCCATGCCAGGAAAGGCTGGGTCTCAGTCGTCCTCGGGGACAGCATCTCTCATGAGGCACTAATTCCATGCATAATGATGCAGACAGCACAGGCTGGGCTCGTGGCTACATGCCACTCTTCCTGCCTGACTCTGTCCCTGAAGCTGTCAGTGGGCTGCTCACCGTCTCAAAACCTACTCAGAGTGGGAAACTGATTGCCAGGAGAGCTGGGCGATCCCTGCTTAGCTTGGCTGGCTCCGGAGCCGTGCCTGCTAAAGGGCGGACATCTGTCCCACATCCTCAGGAACAGATCGCCTGGCTCAGCCACTCGGATGGTTGTCAGCTGTGATGAACCAGTATCTGGGGAGCACATCTGCCTGAAGCCACTTATTACCCCCACCTTCTTTTTTCCCCCTTTCCTGGTCTCTAGGGCACCCCCAGGCTTGGAAGAAAGACGTCTCCTGGTCCCACTCACCGAGGTTCCTTTGACTGACTGTGTAGACACAGCCCTCCGTGTGCGTATTCCTGCTGGGGTTGACAGATACTGAATGTATATGGACCATGCCGAGCTGACCAGCAAACAGAAGAGTAAAGGAACAGGCTAAGGGCCGCCGCTTTTGCAGGGAAAACAGAGCTGGTGGGAAATGGCCAAGCTAGGTGCAGGCCGCCTCTCTAGCCCTCTGCTTTTCTAGAGCTTGAACACAGCTCTGTGGCCGCTGAGTTGGCTCCGTTATTTGCAATGGTAAGAAACGGCAGTCTGGCTCTACCAGGCCAGACTACAACTTCTACAAATGTAAGCAAGCGTCAGGTTCTCCATGACCTTGTGGTTTTGAAATTTTCCACAAATACTTATACTTACTAAATGTGGAGCCACGGGGAAGGCCTTCCAGTATTCCATTCCAGGATGCTTTTGTGCATTTCTGCTCTGTCTTTTAAAATAAGAAACTTGAGATAGATGACCGATCATCAGCAACTTGGTCCCCAGGCTGATAATTTCCTGTTTAAAAAAAATAGAAGATGGAAATCTCAAACCATATAAACTTACAACAAGAAATATTTTCAGTTGGTTTATCTAGGTGGATGTATTATGTGGCTTTTTATATAAAAGACTTCTATATGAAATTAACACAGTATTTTTAAGTTTTATATTCCACAGTACGGTCATAAAGAATTATGTGTAATGTTACATTTTTAACAGCTGCCCAACCATGTCTCTATCTGGTGATAAAGGTTGAATTAGGTTAGAGGAGTGGGTTCCAGATGTGCCTCTAGGGAAACATAGGGTAGTTCTCTGTGTGTTTCTATCATGTCACATTTACTTTGGTCCTGTGTATGTATTTAAATGTTTGAAGTGCCTTAGACTCTTGCCATATTTTCAGAATAAAACTTCATTAAGCTCTTTTGCTTGTCCCTGCTTTGTCACTGACAGCTGTCTGCCTGGCTCGGATGACTTACAGCAGTGGCCACAAATGCTGATGGATGGTTTGGGCTGGGAGAACACAAGCATGGTCTACCGGTCTTCTGAGGGTGCCTGGGTCCATGACACAGGGCCCAGGTTGCATGTCACAACACTGAAACTTAAGACCTTATTATACACACCACTACCAGCCAAGTAACCCCTGGGGAGCCTCCTGAGTTGTTGACTCTTTCAGGATACACAAATGCTAGCTAGTCTTGAACTAATTTGGGGTTACAGCTATCTGTGGTTGTCTTAAAGGGGAAAGGAAGCCAGACACTCTTTGAAAGTTTTGTGTCTCCCAGAGAAACTGTTGGAGGACTGAAGAAAGATGTGTTCGTGATGGATTCAGGTTGGCCTGGGCCAGCTGACCACTCTCAGGCCTGGGGCCTTCAGGGCAGAAATCTGTCCTCATCTGTGAACTGTAAAAATGAGGCTACAGAGGCTTGGGACTCCCAAATTCCTCTCTCTCTCCCTCCCCAGACAGATCTGTGAGCTCTGGGATTCAGACTAGATTTGGGCTCAAAGTTATTAAAGCCAAAGTCCCGTGAACCAGAAATGGGTACAATAAATTAATGCAGAAGAGTGGAGTGGGGTTTGGGGGGTGGGGGAGCAGGCTGTGAAGGAAAGTGATTTGGGGCTTTGTCTCTCCCTTAATGGCCAAAAATGCCTTTTGAGTAAAGAGCTGTTTTCCAGGAGGTTTACGATCCTGGGATTTTGTTTTACTGAGAAGTGAAAAAGCATTAATACTATAAATGTAGGGCCAGGGTTGGGGAGTCTAACACAGTAGTAGTGTTTACCAAACATGCATGAGGTCCTAAGTTCAATCCCCAGCACTGACATATATGTATGTGTGTGTGTGTGTGTGTGTGTGTGTGTGTGTGTGTGTGTGTGTGTGTGTATAGTGAATGAGAAAAATGAAATGAACCCTTGTGCTCTGATAAAAACAGCTGCTCATTTTATCTTTGAGTAAAGTCTGTGTATCTAACCTCTGAGCAGTACACACTGGCCCCGGCCGTGTTTGCTCTCATAACACTGGGCACCTTGAATGCTTTTTATCTTGGGATCTCTCCACATTGTATACACAAGCCTGATTACCCCCATTGGTAAAGCTGTGGTTTATGGAGGCACAACTTTGCAAAGGGACTCTCAAAGGAAGCATGAGCCAGGTCCGTAATCAGGCAGCCCAAGGGAGGAGACAGCTGGCTTTCTCTTCTGATCCAGTAAAGGAGACCAAACCTTTAGGTGACGCCAATTTCCTAGAAGCCTTTGTCCAGGAACTTGAGCAGCCAAAGGCTGGAATTTACCCCAAGACAACAGGACAAGCACAGTAGGAACTGAGACCCTGATATCAAGAAAGTGACACGGATGACATGTCCAACCACTGGCAGGACGTGATAACTAAGCCTCTCGCCATCAGGAGGGAGTTTGCTTCTGGAGAATACTGTCTGGAACTCACTGCTGACATAAGTGCCCAGTGCAAAAGAAAGGACCCCTTTCCCATCCAATGTCAATACTCTGAGAGCAATTTTATCCTTGGCTTTGTAATACTGAAACCACTATTGCAGGCATGGGAGAATCCTTGCAGATGGAGGAGAAAACTTCCATTTTCCCCTCAAAGGAAATAATGAGCAGCTAGTCACAACCTTTCTTTAAATCCCAGTGACACTTCCTAGGGGACCTGCTGCATTCGGGAAGACCTTTGTGTGTAAGCTTTTCCGTTCACGGAGCCGGTGAGTGTTTCCCGGGGGAGCCAAGCCGGGAGCAATCCCATTCTGGCTCTCCCCCGGAATTTGGCCTGAGGTCTGCAAGCATCCCAGGTGCTTTGTCAGTGAGAGCTAGCTCCACCCTGAGAAGTCCTCGCCAGGCTACACAGAGGTTTTTGTAAGGAAGACAGGCAAGGTGGGTGGAGCTGTGTTGTAACCAAAACCTCTGTGTGTCTCTGCCATGCCCAGAGCCCATCTATGCTTAGTTTCTCTGTTGCTGGTCCATGTGCCAAGGCCTTTCTGAACCTCCTGGGATAGTCATGAACCATGACCACCACCATACCATTTTTCCACGCTTAGTCTACAGGAGGCATGTGATTGGCTGAGCGGGCAGGCAGGCTGCCCTTGGTATGTTTTCCCAATTTAATCTTTCCTTCCCCGCTTCCTTGTGGAGCAGGAGTATGGTTATTCAGGAAGGCCATGAACTTTTTGCTTTGGCTTTAAAATAATGATACTTTCCCGTTTTGTTTTGTTTTTTTTTTTTTTTTCTTTTCTGCTAAAAGCACAATGTTTGAAAAGCCCCAGCCCTGGAAATGATTTCGTTTTGCACTCAGCAGAAGGAAATTCCTAACCACATGTTTACTCTGCTTTTATTCAGCATGGCTGTAATTTAGAAGCCAGCGGATTATAAAAATACACCCAGAGTGCATTTTGTCGGAGGCGATTACCACAAAAGGATGTGGTAAGCCCTTAGCCACAGTGCCCCAGACCTACCCAGGTCTCCTCTCCCTCTCACCATAGTCCCTAGTGATACCGTAGGGGCGAGGGTTAATGATGGAGCCAGATGGTACTCTGGATTTGGCAAGAATGCTGTGCAGAAACTGGAAGGCTAAGTGCTGGTGTAGAGGACGTTTGGGGAGTTTGGGGAAACTAGCCAATTCCCCTCCCTCTCCTGCAAGTCCTTTGGTGATTTTGTAGGCAGGAAGATGGGAAGTCTGTCCCTCGTGTTCAAATCGTGGGACCTGCATAAGACGTACTGCCAGCCGGTGTTTACGTCAAAACACGCAAGCAGGTGCTTCCTACTCCACATCCCAGAAGGAACCAGTTTATGGGTCCTTGAGCCCCCTCGAGAGGAGAGGCCTGAGGTGGATGGACAGGGGCCTGCTCTGCTGTTAGCCACTCCAGGTGGCTTTTAACACTAGAGGAGACCACGTCCCTGCTGGGAGGAGCACTTGCTCCTTGCTCTGTCAAGCAGGAAAAACTTCTGGCCCATTAGGAAATGCTGGCTGTACTTAAATAAGCAGGTGATAAAGACAGTAAACCCTAACTAGGCCTAGTCCTTGAGGACTTTGGTAACTCCCTCCCCCAACCCCAGGCCTGCCTAAAGCAGCACTTCCCAGAAAAAAAATCCTGTCTGACAGCAAGGACCAGCAGGACCAGCCTGTGTGTTCGGGTCTCTAACATCATCTACCAGGACTGAGGGGTTCCAGTGCCTAACTCAATGAATGAGGTGTCATAGAGTAATTTGAGGCTGGGGAAAGTCAGGAGGGAGTTGCCCTTCTGGAGGAGCAGCCTGGGGTGGGGCTGGGGAACTAGGAAGGAGCTACTGGGCCACTTCCCACCTGTGGGCAGCTGCAGCATTTTGTTCATTTTATGATGGTTCCCTGTGCTGTGCACTCCGCATGGATTAGTGTTGGGATATTTTCCCCTAAAGGCTTGGTCAGAGAAGACCTGGGGATGGATGGCTTAGATCCAAAGGTCAGTGGAAGCAAAGAGCGAACGGGTGGCTGTGAACTTGACTCCCCCCACAAAACCACAAGCCTGTAATGCGCAGCTTCCGCTAGCCAGGAGTGCCGAGGGCCACGCACAACCTCTGATTCTAGCCGGCAGGGTCGCTCTCAGACTGCCCAGGGCTCTTAGGAGATGAAGCAGCAAAGGGTGTGCTTCCCATCTGATTCTGAAGTTGGCCTTGGCCATATGATTTTCTCGGCCAGTGCCATACTGGTGGCAGTCACATGTCAGCTCCAGATGGAAGCACTAAAGGCCATTGCAAAGGCCTAGAGTGAACCTTAGCATGATTTAAAATTTCCAGGTCCATCTTGAAGCTGGTACCTGGAAGTGGGATGCTGCTGTAAACAAGATGCCTCGTTGGCCTGGGCAGCAAGGAAACTATCCCTGAGGATTCCCCGACAGACAGAACACCAAAGTCTAAATGACTGTTTTCTGCATCCCAGGAATGGCACACCGCAGTACCATCCCAGTTGCAGGAAGAGAAGGTACCCTACTGTGTACAATGTATGCCTGGGCCACCTCTATATCATCTGGAAGGCATATTATAGCTTAGACTCTTACAGCTCTGATACGCAGAGAATCCCCTGGAGGGTTCGTGAGCCAATCCTTAAGGTCCCAGTTTCAAGGTCTAGGAAAGGCCAGGGAATCTCCACATAATTCCCACCTGCTGCTACTGACCTAGAGGCTGCACAGTGAGTAGAAGCCTCGCTGTAAGTAGGGCTTCCCTTACCTCAGTGGCAAGGGCCTGCCTGGAAGAACACCCCTCTCACCCCTGGGATGCCTCAGAAACTAAGCCTTAGGAGTCACAACGTTCCTTATAGAATTTGTACTTTCCAGTTGAACGATAATTCTGAAAGGATGCCTTTTTCTACGACAAGCCTTCTTTTTCTACAGCTTGGACAACATACCCGTGTTTATAAACCCTGCATTCATCGAGAATTGGCTTTCAGAACTTGCCCAGCGCTCATGACTTAAATGATAGCAGTCTTGTGAGAAGAAAGAAAATGCCTCACATTCACTTCAAGCCCTCCTCACTGCTCATCCCAGAGTCTGTTCGTGTCCTGACTCCCTCCCTGATGAATGCCCAGTCACTGGAGTCCAGTCATTTTCTCCTGGAGTCCCAGCAAGGAAGACCTAGGGTACCATGCAGCTGCTCTCTCGGCAGCTGCCTCTAAAACCCGTCCTCTGTTCTCACTCTGTCTCTGGCCAGAAGTACACAATGGTCCTTACACAGCCAAGACAGACGCCATTCCAGACATGCATGCCAGCAGCTGAGACAGACACATCTGTGAGAATGAGTCCTAGGAGCCCTTGGGACCAGGAGCCAACTGAAGGTATCCCTTGTTCTGAAAGCATACAGGGCATGTCACAGCTCTAGAGTGATAGACTGCATTAAGATGAGAAAGAGGCAGAAGAAGTCAGTGTGTTGCTGGGAAACTGGAGCCAA